GAAAGAAATAATACAAAATTACCCTTTATTTTCAGCAAAGAGAAAGCATCTTCTCCAGGCTCTTTTGCCTACAAACACCCAGAGACCAGAAGGAAGAGCATGAAGAGTACGCCCCATGCTCTAGCACTGCCAGGATGCTGCCATGTCTGCTCCAGGCATGGAATGAGTTATAAAACAGCCTGGCTTTACTTTGGGGCCATTGGAAGTAAGCTTTCTGTGAAGGACAAAAACTGTGTGCCCAGACTGAGCTGGAGAGTGCATCGTAACCAGAAGAGCAGTAAAAAGCAAACCCAACCAGGGAAGAAGCAGGCAAGTGGCACGTGAAGATGAGCAATCCTGTGGGCTAAGGAGGGAAAGGGTGAATTGAGGTTTAGGATGGAGAAGAGGACTGTGAGGTGGATGTGGAAGAGCCAACTGTCCTTGGAAAGACCAGAGTCTCCCTTGATTTCAGTGCCAAGGATCAAAGCCACACCAACACAAGCGAGAGGCAGAGGAATGGCGCAGTCAGGGACTTGGGATTTGTTCTGAAAGGAGCTGTGAAAGGACACAAGGAGACATGGCAGGTGGCACTGGGAGCTGAAGGCATGAAATAAAAGGGAAGCAGAGTTACTTCACCTTCACGTACTCTGTTCAAGAGACTCCATGGTAACAGAGGAAGAAGATAAGAAGATGATGGCCAGGGCACACTGAAAGAGCATGTGCACAGCATTGGCCGACCTGGAATTTGGCCAGGACACACAAAAACCGAGCGTAAATAATAGCACTCGGACCAAGTGGATGTTTAAAAGGTGGAAATGAAATGGGCTACCTCCCGACTCTGAGAGCAGCACAGACATCTACATGGACAGGCCATCAGAGCAAGTGTTTGCTGCTTGCGATTAGGCTCCGCAGAGTTGCCTCAAGTTAACTTCAAAGAGAAAGGACGTGTCAGACAAATAGCGCTGGGTCACAATGATTCAGGAGCTGCAGCATTTTCCGCAGGGTACTCAGCAAGTGCTCCACCGTGAATCTTCCAAGATGAAAGGTACTTCCTCCTGGGTCTCAAAACCAACGCCACAAGCATTTGCTACTTCTTGAAACATAGAAGCCCCTACCATGTCCTGGAACATCATGAGCTCTTACTGCAAATGACAGCCTGCATCTCTAGGGCCATGGAACCAACTGGGAAAAGGTTCTTTAACACAAGACATAAGGGAAAAGCTCTCAAGAGTTTTAGCAACTTTAGATACATAGCAAACACAGAAGACTGGAAACCACTCTCAGAGCAGGACGGCATCCCACGGAGAGTGGGATGGTCCCCACTGATCAGTGACAGACAAAGGAGACTCTGCTATCACCAGGGCAGCATCAGTCCTCAGGAAGGACTCCGCGCCTAATGGTGCTGCAGGAGTAGCAGCCTGTCCTCAGGAAGCTTACAGGACTGGTTCTCCTTCAAAGTCAGGAGCAGAGCTACCTCTGTAGTAGCACCACCATGTCTGCTGTGCACTGTGCACAGCCTGGGGTGTGACTGAGCACGGAGAGAGGCCAGGCAGCCCTTTGCAATGTAACTATAGCAGTTGGAATCAATCTTGCAAGCAATGGCACTGCTTCCTGGTGCGACGCAGAATAGCGCAAGGAGCAGTTAAAATGATGAGTACACTTTTTAAAATGCCATTTCTGTCTGAAGGGTGACAGACACCTTGATGAGACCTTCAGGACTGGGAGAGGCTGCTCGTGCTCACAGCCTGAGCTCTCCACTGCCCACCACACAGAGAGCAGAACCAACATATGGCACGTGGCATTAAAAGAAACCACTTCATCCTGGGCTGCTTCTGTGTTATTTGCTGTGTTTGAAGCTCCTTGGAGACACTTAAAATACAAGTGTCTCGAAATTTCTATATTCTCAACCATTAAATAACTTATAAATGATCACCATCTCTGGAAATTGTCTTCTAGCTTATGCAAAAATTGTAAATATTTCAACTGAAAACAGACTCTGAACTTCACAGCGGTGTTTAAACAGCAAGGTTGGAGGACTCCTGTTCGCGCCTCTGCCATGTGTGCGTTGGGAGAGCTGCGGAGCTCAGCAGTAAGCAGCCTGACATGCATGTACATCATGGAGCGTACGGCAGGGACATTCCTGAGCAGGCTGTCCCCTCCTAAGGAAGATGCAGGGCAGTTTGTCAGGTTTTGTATTTTTAGCAGGTTTACAAAGACCTGCCCAAGTTATTTTTGAAGCCTGTGGTATGTTTGCTCACAAAAGCGTCCCTGCAAACTGTCAATATTAAGTCAGCTTAAACCCAACCCATTCCCTGGGGACCAGGCAGAAAAGCATCCCTCAGCTTCTGCTGGACCAAGAAACACAAATACAGCGTAACTGCTTCAGAGACACCCCCACTCCACTTCCATGCTCATAGGTAACATCACCAATATTTGATCATTTTTTTCTGGAAGTGCTGTCACAGGGAGTTAGCTGGACCGCAGGAAGTAAGCAAGGTTACATCTTATCCCGTTCCTCCCACACTTTTTACTCACCCAGAAACCTGAGAAGGACAAACATCTGAACATTGTCCTTTGGGCCTTCTGTTTGTAAGGCAATCTGACAACTTCTTGGCCTGTAAGCTTTTCAGAGTAGGAACACATCCCTTTGTGTCTGGAGGAAACTGACTGTGGGCACAGATCTTCCCCAAGATCTCCAGGCAGAGCTGTAGCGTGCTTTGAAAGGTTTTGAACTGGGTTGTGTGTTAATGAAGCAGTCACTGGCTCTTCAACCCTTCTGCCCCTGCCTCCATCGTTTACCGGTCCTAAAAAGAAGGGCAGAAGCACAGAACCACCCCCAGAAAACAGTTAATGGGGAAGGGAAGGGCCACCGTGGGTGGTGGTGGGGTGTCAGTCCAGCCTTGCTCATCTGCCTGCCAGGGAGAAGATGAAGGCTGTGGTCTTCTGAGATGGACCTGCCATAGGAGAGCTGGGCCCGAGCT